CCCCCCCGATCTGAACCCAAGCGGTGTTTTGTTATTGGACTTCTGTGCTCGTCATGGATTGTCCATAACAAACACCATGTTCAAGCATATGTGCTCTTGGCACCGGGACACTCTAGGCCACAGTTTGATGATCGACTTTATTGTCGTTTCATCTGATCTGCGGCCGCATGTTTAGGACACTCGACTGAAGAGAGGGGCAGAGCTGACAACTGACCACTACCTGGTGATGAGTTGGCTCCGTTGGTGGGGGAGGATGCTGGTCAGACCTGGCAGACCGAAACGTATAGTGCGGGTCTGCTGGGAACGTCGGTCAGAGTCTCCCGTCAGACGGAGCTTCAACTCACACCTCCGGGAGAACTCGAACACGTTCCGGGGGAGGTAGGGGACATTGAGTCCGAGTGGGCCATGTTCTGTGCCTCCATTGTCAAGGTGGCTTATCTGAGCTGTGGCCGTAAGGTTGTCGGTGCCTGTCGTGGCAACAACCCTCGAACCCGCTGGTGGACATCGGTGGTGAGGGATGATGTCAGGCTGAAGAAGGAGTCATATCGAGTCTTTTTGGCCTGTGGGACTCCGGAAGCAGCCGAAAGGTATTGGCAGTACAAGCAGATTGCGGCTCGGGTGGTGGCTGAGGCAAAAACTCGGGCATGGGAGGAGTTTGGAGAGGCCATGGAAAAAGACTTCCGTACAGCTTCAAAGCGATTCTGGTCCACCATCTGGCATCTCAGGGGGGAAAGTGGTTCGCCACCAACACTATTTTTGGTGGGGATGGTGCACTGCTGACCTCAACTTGGGATGTTGTGGGTCGGTGGGCGGAATTCTTCGAAGACCTCCTCAATCCTACTGACACGTCTTCCCATGAGGAAGCAGAGCCTGAGGACCCTGGGTCGGACTCTCCAATCTCTGGTGCCGCGGTCACCGAAGTGGTTAAAAAGCTCCTCGGTGGCAGGCCGCCGGGGATAGATGAGATTCACCCGGAGTTCCTTAAGGCTCTAGATGTTGTGGGGTTGCGTTGGTTAATGCGACTCTACAATATTGCGTGGACATCGAGGGCAGTTCCCCTGGATTGGCAGACCAGGGTGGTGGTCCCCCTATTTAAAAAGGGGGTCCACAGAGTGTGTTCCWACTATAGGGGGATCACACTTCTGAGCCTCCCTGGTAAGGTCTATTCAGGGGTTCTGGAGAGGAGGGTCTGTTGGAAGGTCGAATTTCGGATTCAGGAAGAGCAGTGTGGTTTTCGTCCTGGTCGTGGAACAGCGGACCAGCTCTACATCCTTAGCAGGGTCCTGGAGGGTGCATGGGAGTTCGCCCAACCAGTCTGTGTGTTTTGTGGACTTGGAGAAGGCGTTCGACCGTGTCCCTCGGTGACTCCTGTGGGGGGTACTCCGGGAGTATCGGGTACCAGGCCCGTTGATAGGGGCCGTTAGGTCCCTGTACGACCGGTGCCAGAGCTTGGTCTGCATTGCCAGTAGTAAGTCTGATTCGTTTCCGGTGAGAGTTGGACTCCGCCAAGGTTGCCTTTTGTCACTGATTCTGTTCATAACTTTTATGGACAGAATTTCTAGGAGCAGCCAAGGTGTAGAGGGGATCCTTTTTGGTGACCTTAGGATCACGTCTCTGCTTTTTGTGGATGATGTGGTCCCATTGGCTTCATCAGATCTTGATCTCCAGCTCTCGCTGGAGCGGTTCACAGCTGAGTGTGAAGAGGCCGGGATGAGGATCAGTGCCTCCAAATCCGAGACCATGGTCTTGAGCCGGAAAATGGTAATGTGCCACCTCCAAGTCAGGGAGGAGGTCCTGCCCCACATGGAGGAGTTTAAGCATCTCGGGGTCTTGTTCATGAATGAGGGAAGAATGGAGCGGGAGATCGACAGGCGGATTGGTGCTGCGTCTGGAGTGATGCAGGTGCTGTACCGGAACTGTCGTGGTGACGCAAGAGCTGAGCCAGAAGGCAAAGCTCTCGATCTACATTCCTACCCTCATCTATGGTCACAAGCTTTGGGTAGTGACCACAAGAACGAGACTGTGGGTACAAGCGGGCGAAATGAGTTTCCTTCGCAGGGTGTCTGGGCTCTCCCTTAGAGATAGGGTGAGAAGCTCAGTCATCCGGGAGGGACTCGAGTAGAGCCGCTGCTCCTCCACATCAAGAGGAGCCAGTTGAGGTGGCTCGGGCATCTGGTTAGGATGCCTCCTGGACKCCTCCCTGGTGAGGTGTTCCGGGCACATCCCACTGGGAGGAGGCCCAGAGGAAAACCCAGGACATGCTGGAGGGACCATGTTTCTCSACTGGCTTGGGAACGCCTTGGGATTGCCCCGGATGAGCTGGCTCAAGTGGCTGGGGAGAGGGAAGTCTGGGTCTCTCTGCTTAGGCTGCTGCCCCCGCGACCCGACCCCGGATAAGCGGCAGAAAACGGACAGACAGACATTTATTTAGAKGATAGGCTCACAAAATGTAGAATTCTGTTTTATTCGTGTAAAAACGGCTTGTTTTGTTCAAGATAACTATAAAGTCTTTCTCTGTACACAACACCACACAMATTTTCAAAGGTCTCTTTCAGTTCATTGACTACAGGATTTTTGTAGACAAAAATCCTGCATATTGTTCAGTGACTACAGTCTCAGAGTGAGGTGTGGTTTCTGCAGTAATTGATAAAATTATTATTATTTTCCTTCTGTAGAGCTCTGTGAAAGCTAGCAAGTGCCAAATTTCATCTCGTTTGGACCACTGCTGGACTTCCTACACCTTCYTAGATCAATATCATACTGACCTAAATGAGATCTTCTGTGACAAAGTCCTAAATAAATTTTTGTTTAATATTTAAGTTTAAACTGTGCAACCCTCTAGCACTTCTAGCTTTAACGTGGCAATATTTTCATATACTGYCACTGTGATAAAACAATAAAATAACATACTGTGCAAACATTTGATTTGTTTGGTCTGGCAAAGAAATAAGAATCAGCATAAATGTTTACTATACAGTTGGACTACAAAAGGAAGTATTTTACATAATCAATTTTTCATTTCTGTCATCTCAGCTGTGAATGCATCTGTGCATCTCACCCAGAGCAGCCAGTCTCTGCAGCTCCTCCTCGTTGTCCGTGCTGTGTGGTCGACCGATCTGAAGAACCTGGTTCTGGCCATCGATGCTTGACTTACAAAGCAGGACTCGGTTGGTACCTGAAGCCACAAACAGTTTTAAGTGGAGTCAACATCAGAACAAAACATCCATTCATCTTCTTCCCTTTATTCATATTSGGGTCATGGAGGCAACAGGTCTAGGAGAGAAACCCAGTGATACTTTCCAGCTGGTCTTGGGTGTTCCCAGGCCAGAGAGGAGGCCAGAGAGGAGACAATCCCTCCAGCAAGTCCTGGCTCTTCTACTACTCTGACATGCCCAGAGCACCTCTAAAAGCTAGGTGTGCACAAGGCATCATAATAAGATGAACCACTTCAACTGCCTCTTTTCGATGCAGAGGAGCAGTGGCACTACTCCCCTGACACATAATCCATCCTTTTAGGATATCAAGTAAATTTTATTTATTCAGTGAAACAAACCCAATAATACCATCAATTAAAAAAATAGTGGGTGGGAAACCGTCATTGCCCTACTCTGAGCTAAGAGCAATGTCCTTAAGCCCTCAGCTGCTCCCCAGGTGCCTCAAAATGGCAGCCCACTGCTCCATGTGTGCTCAAGTGCGTAATGGGGAAAATGTACAGAATTAATTCCCCCCATTAAGGAACRATAAATACAAAATGATAAAAAATTAAAACTATGACCCATTTTTGTTTGATATAAATACACAACACATCATTTTCAACACAAATATTTTTGAGTGAACTGCCAACACATGAGAGACCAAGCTTACAAGTCACATGTTCCTTCATCTCAGACGTTCCTCAAATATTTTCTGTTCCTTAGATGTAATCTGATCTACCTCCAGAAAGTCTGAAAATCAGCCASAGTCCCCTTTTCCTCTGCTGTGAACACTACTTCATGTCCAGTTAAAACRAGTTTGTATTGTTTCAAGGGTATTGTTCAATGTTTTTCAGTAAAATAAGACTGGAATATTGAAGGTGTAACCKTATAACACCTGAAAGTGTTAGTTATAAAAAAAAATCTGTATCGGTGATTGGCCAGAAAACTGTAATCAGTGCACCCCTAGTAATGACAAGTTTATAACAAACAGACTGTAATAACAYTGTGAGCACAGATTTAAAATATGACAATAGTCTTAATGTGTTTCAAAAACAGCAGTTTAAACTTTATTTWAAAAAGTCTAAAAGTAAAATGTGCTCTTGTGATGTTTTTTAAAGCTAAAATAATCAATTATTTGTTCATGAACCCAAACAAAAGCTGTCCAAAGCCAGACCAATGATTAATTAATTTTTATCATTAAACTTCTGGCCTGTTGAGCAGAAGCCTGATGCAGTTTCAGACCAAGCGGTCATAGTTTTATGATCTCACACCTGAAGGTGTGTGCTGAGCTGCTTAAGGACACCTGGCTACTTCATCACATGTTGGTCACGTTTGGGCAACAAAACTGACACTGTGGTCACAAAATCAATGCTACTGTTTGAATTTCCAATGTGGAAATAAGGAAGTTATACACATATTCTGATGTAAGATATTTACCTACCGCCACCTTCTCTTTACATACGCACGCACGCACGCACGCACGCGCGCTCCCTGCTCAAATATATTCAATAGCTGGAAGCTATTTACTATGCACATTTCCTCAGAATTTCAAACAACCCAGGGATTTGATAAACTTTGAACTTCTGACCCAACCCCATGGCTGTTTTCATTGGGAGACAAACATCCCCCTATTTTTTTTTTTTTTTTTCAGATGAATGCCTTGAAGCAAAGAGAAAAAATACATTTTCTTTTGCTTGCTACAGATACTTCAGAAAGATATAACAGAAAACATTTTTTTTAAATGACTTATACGAGGGGTTAATTAGACAACATATTCTGTATGTCTAGAATAAGATTCACATCACTGTTGACTAAACAGCACTCACAACGTCTTTAAAAGCTTTCAAAGGACTTGTTGTGGCTTAATTAATTGTAATTGGATTTTCTGTACATAAATAACCGTGTTCTTCCTCACAGTTACAAATATAAAATGGCCGAACGGATTTTCTGATAAAATATTAATGACAGACATTTCTTTTTTGCTCAACAGCTGAAAGAGACAAGAATCTGCTAAAACAAAATCACAAAAACATATAAGCACCCACTGACAACAAAGAGGACATACTTCTTGCTATTCAGGTCTGATTTGGTAACAGGAATAGCACAGATATAACACTGAGCGATAGAGTAGGTGTTAATTAAAAAGAAAAAAATAAATCCAACATCTGCCTGATGGTCAAAGAAAATAACACAAAGGATATTTTCTTGTATATTTTAAATGGAATAAAATGTGCAACTCAAATCTGACATGGATTTAGAATACAATAGAATAGAAACTGCCTTTATTGTCCTGCAGAGGTAAAATTCAGGTGTAACAGCAGTAGCAGAAAATATAGATTCACATAATGTATTACTATGTAACAATAGCAATAATAATAATAATAGAATAAAATAATAAAAAATGTTCGCAGCAATTTCTCACAAATGCTAATAAAATTTAAATGAAAATAATATATATTTTGTTGAGCAAATTACTGTTAGTAACATCACCTCCAACAACAAGTAGGGAGAATGTGTTATATCCCATTTTCAACAAATGAACCATTTGCAGAGCTCTTAATTAAATATTTACAACATGCTTTGATCAAAATACTGCAAAGTTAAAGCACCACAGCACCTCTCTACCTCCATAACAGTGTTTTATTCTTTGAAACCTTTTTTTAGAAGAGTTAGGAGAGAAGATAATGAATGAAATTGTAATTATTTGATCAAATCATAGGATTTTAGGACACCAACATTAAAAAATGCTTTTTCAGCTGAATGATATAAAACCAAGTTAAATGTTTATTTTCATAATTTCACCATGTGCCTATAATAAGATGATGCATTTAATGAAAAAATCCTCAAAATAAATTTGGAAACAAAACCCACAAATGGCAAGACAGATTTGTAAATTGGGAAATAAAATGCTAAAATAAAATCATCCATAAAAACAGGTGGACTGATTACAAATGTAATGGAGCTCCAATGCTTGTAGAGCTATTTATCCAATTTGAATCTTAATCTCCCCATAAGTATAAAAATGAGTCCAGTGGCATGAGTTTTACTCTGTTTGGTTGTCTGTCATTGTCATTATTTTATTACTTAAAGAGAGCTATTCAGTCACTAAATTATAATCTGGGTCAAGTCTGACATCTGGTGGTGTGAAGCAGACTGAACTTAATATCTGCTACTGGCTTAACATGACACAGTCAACTGCTTTTGTTATTTATAAAATATGCTTCAATTAAATTCAATAAAAAATAATAATGAATAATTTGAAGTTATATAAAACAACTCAAGCCCATTTCAAGATGTGTACGTACCAACATTGGCGACGTAGAGCTTGTTGTTGAGAATCAGCGCCACCACAGCTGTAGCGCCTCCTGACACCTCCTGCTCCAGCTCCTTCAGGCGTTCCTGCACCTTCTGACTCTGAGGAGAGAGCTGGTGGAATGACACATTCTGGCAAGCCGGAAGGCATACAGACACAGAAGAGATGAAGGAGGAGGAGGAGGTAATATTGTGGATAAGAGGGAATATTAGGAACGAAGTAGAAAAGAAATGAAAATAGAGAACAATCAGTAGAAGTAGGCTGCACAACTGTCAGGTGACGACGTGAGATAAAAACAAGTGAAAATGAGAATAAGAGAGGGAGGAGGAAATATCGAGACACAACTATGAAAACAAGGGGAATCTCGGTTAAATGGAGGTGGTTGGGTGATAAGGCGACAAAAACTGGAGGAAGAACAAGATCTAGTGAGGGAGAATTAGACGAGATTTATTCAACAAAACTGTTAGAAAGAGTAATTGGAAATAAGAAACTCATTATCTTATGTCTAGATATTTTCTCATACAGATGCCTAAATCTGAGGATGTTACTGAAACAACATAGTAATTTGTGAAAAGGCTCAACGCTGTGTGTGTGCTTACCTCATTGTGTGGCGTGGCGTAGGTGGACAGGTGAGCTTTTTCAGCCAGAGCATCGTCTATTGTTTTAAAGTAGCTTTTCTCCACCACATCAAAGGCCTGCAGCAATCCAGCAGAAGGATTTGCTACCACTTACTCACTTTGGAAATGTGTCAAATCAACCAAATATTAACACAATAAACAAGAAGATAAGAAAACTATAACGGCATAATCGCCCAGTTTACCTCCTGTTTAGCAGCTGACAAAACCAAATGACTTTTGGTTGTTTCAGTGTGAACGGCTTGATGATTTTCAGTCACAACTTAGCTCTACAGTAGGAATTAAATTTGATTTTCTTAATCTGTTTTTGGGTATAAGCAACGGGGATTTGCTTTGTGCATTTTTTTTCCTCTTAGATCAAGAAGGTCTGGAACTAAAGTGTGAAACTGCAGACATTTTGTACAACTGACTAAATCTTGCAGAAAAATAATTATGAATGTGGCACACTTTAGCATGTTCCCAAGAATAGGGCTGTACAGTGCGACATACACACAGTCAAAATTGATTTACCTTTATAAATCATTGTTTGGATAAAAAAAAATCAATTAAATATTTAGGGGACAAACACTGTGATATTTGAGAAGTGAACTGAAGTTTATATGATTTACAGAAAGTGTGCAATAATTGGTTAAACAAAATTAGACAGGTGCATAACTTTGGGCACCAAAAAAAAAACAAACAAACAAAAAAAAACCCTTCACTCAATATTTAGTAGCTCCTCCTTTCATGGAAATAACAGCCTCTAAATGCTTCCTATAGCTTCTAATGAGAATCTGGATTGTGGCTGAAGGTATTTTAGACCATTCTTCTTTACATTGGTCTCCAGAATCTGCTGATATTGGTTGGAATCCATGCGTCCCTCAACTTTAACAAGATTCCCAGTCCCTGTACTGGCCACACAGCCCCACAGCATGAAGGAACCACCCCCACATTTTACTGTAGGTGGCAGGTGTTTTTCTTGGGAGTGCTGTGTTTTTTTTCCTCCATGCATAACGACTCTTGTTCTGCCCAAATAAC